ATATTTGTTCAGTATTTGCTTGGTTAATAATACTATTTATTTATTTACCTATATAGCTATTTACCTATCGAGAATACTTACCTCCGTGCTATTTGCTGATAAAGACTGTTTACTTATTTATGTATTTATGGGTTTATTTATTAAGAACGTCGCTTTGTTCTCAAGCGACTTATCTACCTGTCTGTCAAGAATATTTGTTTCTTTACTAGTACTATTTATTTATTTATCTGTGTACCTGTTTCTCTCTCGAGAACGTTTCTTCGCCTATTGATTTCTCTACTTACCTCTGCACTGTTAGTTTGTTTATTTATTAATGTCCGTCCTCCTCCGCTCCGGCCCTAAAAGAGACGGGAACAGCCCGGAGGGCACCGACCCCCTTGATTTTCTCCTTGGCTTTCGCCACCTCCCCCCAAAAAACCCCTTTTCCCCCCAGTTTCCACCCTCCCCGGGTGTTTCCGTCACCATTTATCGCCATCGTCGCCTGCATCCCTCTCCGAGCAGCCCCGGCTCCCTTGGGGGGGCTGCAAGAGGGTCCGGTGCCCCATTACGGCGCCGAGCGCAGCCGGGGCCGGGGGGAGCCGGAGCGGCCGCGCTCCTGCCTGCGCGGGGTGTTTAAGGGCCAAATTCGCCGAATCTCTTGAGCATCTCGAAGCCAAATTTCCCAATTCTCTTGGCTATTTCCGCACGCATCCGTGGCATTAATTTATTTTACCGGCGGTTTAGAGGCGGGAGCAGCCAACGTCTTATTTTTCGTTATTTAAATGAATGTAAAGGGATGGGGGAGAAAAAATCTAAGCTAAACGAGCCATACCTGGTAAAAAAATTGGACTAATATATATATTTTTTCTTGAAATACCCAAGTTTTGCCTTCTAAGGGAGAGGTTTGGGATGTGGCTGTTCCTGGAGGGACCCGGAGCGTTCCCAGGGGCCTGATCCGGACCCGCTCAAGGCAGGACGCCACGGTGAGGGTCTCCCGCTGCCGCCTGCTCCGATGGAGCAGCCGCCCCAGCGGGA